ACCCTAAACCTTGGGTTAGGTCAGCTTAATGTCCATCGGACTGACCTAAGCCTTAGTTAGGCCAGTACGTGGCCTAACTGTGGGCTGACGGTGGCAACTTACTGAATGAAGGACAGGGTGTTGTAAGGACCTGGGTTGGCTATGACCTGGGGTAGATAGGTCCGGGGGTGGCCAGTACCGGGGGTGGCCAGTACCGGGGGTGGCCAGTACCGGGGGTGGGTAGTACAGGGTGTAGATAGGTCCGGGGGTGGCCAGTACCGGGGGTGGCCAGTACCGGGGGTGGCCAGTACCGGGGGTGGCCAGTACCGGGGTTGGCCAGTACCGGGGGTGGCCAGTACCGGGGGTGCCCAGTACCGGGGGTGGCTAGTACAGGGTGTAGATAGGTCCGGGGGTGGCCAGTACCGGGGGTGGCCAGTACCGGGGGTGGCCAGTACCGGGGGTGGCCAGTACCGGGGGTGGCCAGTACCTGGGGTGGCCAGTACCGGGGGTGGCCAGTACCGGGCGTGGCCAGTACCGGGGGTGGCCAGTACCGGGGGTGGGTAGTACAGGGTGTAGATAGGTCCGGGGGTGGCCAGTACCGGGGGTGGCCAGTACCGGGGGTGGCCAGTACCGGGGTTGGGTAGTACAGGGTGTAGATAGGTCCGGGGGTGGCCAGTACCGGGGGTGGCCAGTACCGGGGGTGGCCAGTACCGGGGGTGGGTAGTACAGGGTGTAGATAGGTCCGGGGGTGGCCAGTACCGGGGGTGGCCAGTACCGGGGGTGGCCAGTACCGGGGGTGGCCAGTACCGGGGTTGGCCAGTACCGGGGGTGGCCAGTACCGGGGGTGGCCAGTACCGGGGGTGGCCAGTACCGGGGGTGGCCAGTACCGGGGGTGGCCAGTACCGGGGGTGGGTAGTACAGGGTGTAGATAGGTCCGGGGGTGGCCAGTACCGGGGGTGGCCAGTACCGGGGGTGGCCAGTACCGGGGGTGGCCAGTACCGGGGTTGGCCAGTACCGGGGGTGGCCAGTACCGAGGGTGGCTAGTACCGGGGGTGGCTAGTACAGGGTGTAGATAGGTCCGGGGGTGGCCAATACCGGGGGTGGCCAGTACCGGGGTGGGGTGTATACAGATACCCCAAGGTTTCGACGTGCGACTTGGGGTAGATACGTCCTGGGGTGGCCAGTACCGGGGTGGGGTGTGTACAGATATCCCAAGGTTTCAACACGCGTCTTGGGGTAGATACGTCCTGGGGTGGCCAGTACCGGGGTGGGGTGTGTACAGATATCCCAAGGTTTCAACACGCGACTTGGGGTAGATACGTCCTGGGGTGGCCAGTACCGGGGTGGGGTGTGTACAGATATCCCAAGGTTTCAACATTCGACTTATCAGTGTGCCATGTTGGAGACGGCCAAGCTGATAAACTGATAAGACCGTGGAAGGTTGAATACATACAGTTTGTATGTCAGATGTTGTATACACGTATGTTGTATGTGTGGAGGGGACGGGGGAGTGATATCGGGGAAGTGATGATGTAGGTGTCATGGGGGGGGGGGGGGTAATTTTGGAATAGATGCCGAGAAGGGATGGAAAAGTTGATGACAGTACTACACATGTGTTGTGTGTGTGTATGTGTGGTGTGTGTGTGTTTCGTGTGTATGTATGTGTGGGATGATGTGTGATGTGTGTGTATGTGATGTGTGTGATGTATGTGTGTATGGTGTGTGGTGAATGGTGATGTGTGTGTGTGTGTGTAAGGAGTGTTAGCTTCAGAGGGAGCCTCAGTCGCAATAGAGACAAACTCCAGGAGATTATTTTGACCATGTCTAGATGCAGGCTAGAACAGAATCCACTGCCACAATTAACATAAATCAAGTAAACTAACCACATCCGTATCGGAGTTGCCTCTCAAGGGGAATGATGACAATTCGCGCAATATTATTTGACTAAGCTGCTAGTAAAATACGTACAAATAAGCAGACAAGTATTGTACAGTTTAATTTAGAACACAATCCCACTAACACTTCCCATCAAATTACACATTGTTGCTAATGTTTCATGTGCAGTTTTCAAAATAAATGTTTTTTTTTTACTTTTACAAAATTTTTTTTTTTACCAGAAAGCATACAACATATAGTTGTATAAAAACGGGCCAACAATTTTTTAAAATTCAGAGAGTTAAAATATGTTGCTAAACATCTGATAGCGCCAAAGTTAGATAACTCTAACGAGAGGGGTTCACTGAGTTCGATTATCCCCCTGGAACCTGCTAAGAGGTCATGATCTCTCACGTAAATTTAAACTACTTTTTTATTTATAGAAAAAAATGCTACTTACAGGGGGAAATAAGCTTGGGATTTTTAAATATATATATATGTATATATATATATATATATATATATATATATATATATATATATATATATATATATATATATATGCATTACTATATACAGATTAAATGGGCTGTAAAAGTGTGTTATAGCTAACGTACAAGGTTGTGTAAATTCAAATTTCAAAAGAGTGATTTTAGTAAAATTTCCTTTTTGTATCTCCTTATCAGTGTTAAAACCTACCCACCATTTTCTCTGGTATGCTCCAGTGTTAAAACCTACCCACCATTTTCTCTGGTATGCTCCAGTGTTAAAACCTACCCACCATTTATTCAGGTATGCTCCAGTGTTAAAACCTACCCACCATTTACTCTGATATGCTCCAGTATTAAAACCTACCCACCATTTATTCAGGTATGCTCCAGTGTTAAAACCTACCCACCATTTACTCTGATATGCTCCAGTATTAAAACCTACCCACCATTTAATCTATTATACTCTGTGTTAAAACCTATCTACCATTTAATCTATTATGCTCAGTGTTAAAACCTACCTACCATTTACTCTATTATGCTCAGTATTAAAACCTACCCACCATTTACTCTGATATGCTGCAGTGTTAAAACCTACCCACCATTTACTCAGGTATGCTCCAGTGTTAAAACCTACCCACCATTTATTCAGGTATGCTGCAGTGTTAAAACCTACCCACCATTTTCTCTGATATGCTCCAGTGTTAAAACCTACCCACCATTTACTCTATTATACTCAGTGTTAAAACCTACCCACCATTTACACTAGTATGGTGCAGTGTTAAAACCTACCCACCATTTACGCTAGTATGCTGCAGTGTTAAAACCTACCCACCATTTACACTAGTATGCTGCAGTGTTAAAACCTACCCACCATTTTCTCTGGTATGCTGCAGTGTTAAAACCTACCCACCATTTTCTCTGGTATGCTGCAGTGTTAAAACCTACCCACCATTTTCTCTGGTATGCTGCAGTGTTAAAACCTACCCACCATTTACTCAGGTATGCTGCAGTGTTAAAACCTACACACCATTTATTCAGGTATGCTGCAGTGTTAAATCCTACCCACCATTTATTCAGGTATGCTTCAGTGTTAAAACCTACCCACCATTTATTCAGGTATGCTCCGGTGTTAAAACCTACCCACCATTTATTCAGGTATGCTGCAGTGTTAAAACCTACCCACCATTTACACTAGTATGCTGCAGTGTTAAAACCTACCCACCATTTATTCAGGTATGCTGCAGTGTTAAAACCTACCCACCACTAGTTCATTTCGCCTACTCACCGTTACAACGGTTAAACCGCGTTAAAGTTTTAATTTAAATGTCGCCATCTGCCCTGGATTATAGAGCATTGAAATGGAACTGGGAAATATTTATGAATGTTATGTCTGCAGTCAAGTTATCTGCCCTCGAGTAGAAACCAGAGTTACCTGAGCTTAATAATAAAGATAACCTTTCAGTGTGGAGGAAATAAAAAGCTGGGACGGCACAACACATCCGGTCTCAAAAAATATTTAACCGTTGGATAAGGAAATAAACTATATTTTTAATTGCATTTTATTAATTTAGAAAAAAATGGTTAATTTTATTTAAAGTCTAATTTGTGAGAAAATTTATCACTAGTGAGTTAAATGAAGCCGTTAGTTTTATAAATTAATCTGAGTTTTGTTATAATTCAATAAAAGTTCGTAACTTGCAATTAAAATTTGTATGCTAAAACAAAGGAAGAAGAAAGTTATGAGAGAAAGATAAGAAGTGTGTAGAGTATGTTATCTAAGTCTGTTGTCTGTAAGTATAAACATTTGTTGAGCCTGGGGTCGAATCCCGCTGCAGAAAATATCAAAGGAAGGGCGTAAAAGGGATGTGGTTGAGTAGTTAGCGCGCAGGTTTTAATCTAGAGCCCCACCCCATCCCCAGTGTAAAGTGTTTGTCTTGTAACTGGTCTAGGTCTGACTTTATGATACATTCTTCAATTATTTTCTCGGTGAAATACCACTTGTACACATTACACTTACACTACCACCCCCAGTAGAGTGGTAGCTGTTCTAGAATAGTATGCGAAAGCTAGAGCGTATGACTACTAATTCCCAAAGTCCCGAGTTCGGATCCCCAAACAGACAGGACCCACTAGGTGAGGACAACCCATCCAGGAGAGATAACTCTAAATATTTCAAACATCAGCTGCCTTGTAGTTTGTTCTTAACTGGACAAAAGGCTATGGAAGCAAGTCTAGAAGAGCAGGCTGAAGTTGGGGTCAACGGGCTATTTATGGCGCTTAACGTGATGACACGTACTACTTAACTGTGACGGGGAAGAATCTCCTTAATGCGTCTATTAAAACCAAGGAGGAACAATAGCTGATACCAGGAGGATTAAACATGTACCATACTTTACCACTACAAGCTTAACGTTTTATGTAATGATAATTTTGGTACGTTTTTTTTTTATTTATTTTTTGTTTTGTTTTAAAAACTACATTATGTTTGCTGTTTTTGCACTAAAAGTTATGTTAGAATCTACGGGAATTTCTTTCTTTCTGCTTTCTTTAATAAGATGGTTAAAATTTATTGAATGAGTTGTCAGTTATATATTTAAATATAGTTTACCCTGATTAAATAGACAATGTTTTCTTAATAAAATAAATGCATCAAACCTGTCAGAGAATTTTAAATTCCAGAATCTTGCCCAGAAAGTCCGCAGATAATCCTTTGTCGAACAACAGCGATTCGATTAACTCCCTTTGTCGCTGTCTGCACCGTTTGACGAAATCAATGACAACGTTGTTGTATTCTAAGGGGACGTAAGCCCGAAATTCGTGATTTCCTCCCCTTGCACTAATCTCCTAATGATATTTCTCTCTCCTGCCCCGAGAGGGTATGTGTATGTAAATATATATCCAGCCACAAACAACACCGTTCACCGCGCGAGCTTCTTCTGTCTGCGTCTCGCGCCGTCACGTGGCCTCACGTCACTGAGCGAGAAGGGAGGTAAGAAATTCTCAAGGGCAGTCCAATCATTGGATTAGAGTCCAATATTTTGGAGTGAGCGCAGATAATACCCGCCTTGCTTTGTGGAGTGACAATGGTATCTCAACCCTACCCCACAAGACATGATTTTAAAACTTAGCATTTTTTTTAGCCTTGAAAGTTTATCGAAAGTTGCTGTTTTGTCTACAGATTTTTTTTAAAGTGAAAGTTAGCATAGTGTTTAAAAAAAAAAGTGAGTCAAATTTTGTAATAACAGAAATATAAACACACACACACACACACACACACACGCACACACACACACACACACGCGCACACACACACATATGCATGCGATGTGACAGGATGGTCGTTAGGTATAGCACTTGTTCAAAGCTAGGTCCACTCAGACATACACATTCTCATACAAGAGCCCCATATAACTGTATATAACATAGCCCTCCTTCCTCAAATTGTTTGCTCATAATGTGCGGTGGTCCTACCATATAATGTGTGGGTTCTGACGTCATAATGTGTGGATGTCTAGACACCATAAGTGTGTGTGAGGGGGGGGGGTCTGACGCTTTAATGTGTGATGATCCTACCGCGCAGTGTGTGGATTCTGACTTCTGTCAAAAGTACAATTACATTAAAGATAAATTGTTCCTCATTTTTTTATCATACAATTTGATGCACTCAGGGACATATCCAACAAACTCTAACTACCGCAGTGTCTTACATATACGGTCAACCACAGACTATCTTTACTTTATCTCAGGTAAATATCTCATAGACTATCGAGTATAGTATAGAGCAAGCAATAACTTAGCACAAAACAAAAATACCGTATGCAGCCCCACAATTTCACCGTTTAAATGTGAACATTATTAGCTAATTAGCCGTTTAAAATAAGCTGTAAGGAAGATCAAAATTTAAGGCTACATAGATTAAATTCTAACTGAAAGAGAAGTTTTGAAAGTTTGTTTATTTTTCCACTTAAAGGGAGTAATTTATAAATCCAGGCCGAGTTGTTTTTAAATGAGGCTAATTTCAAAGGGGAACAATTCTATTACTTGAGCCTGCATGCAAGGGGAATATTATTAGCCGACACTTCGGGGAGTTCCAGTTGTCGCCCTTTAAACCTTGGTGTAATCAAGCTAATTAAAGAAATTATTTCCTACAGAGTTGACGTTGAGTTATTCAAGGTAAATGTAAAATAAAAAGTTAAAAAAAAAAGAAAAAGATTGACATATTTAATCTACAAAGCTCATGTAGGTTCTGACGGTTAAACTGGACCACCTATAGGTTTGTGTCGACGACAGCTGGGAACTGCGGGAGGTTTGAACCTGCCAGAGGTACTCAACTTTCCCACACCATCGCATCCCCCCACACCATCGCATCCCCCACACCATCGCATCCCCCCACACCATCGCATCCTCCCACACCATCGCATCCCCCCACACCATCGCATCCCCCACACCATCGCATCCTCCCACACCATCGCATCCCCCCACACCATCGCATCCCCCCACACCATCGCATCCCCCCACACCATCGCATCCCCCACACCATCGCATCCTCCCACACCATCGCATCCCCCCACACCATCGCATAATCCACACCATCGCATCCCCCACACCATCGCATCCCCCCCCCACACCATCGCATCCTTCCACACTATCGCACCCCCCCCCCCCCACACCATCGCATCCCCCACACCATCGCATCCCCCACACCATCGCATCCCCCACACCATCGCATCCTCCCACACCATCGCATCCTCCCACACCATCTCATCCCCTCACACCCGATTCCTCCCACACTATCGCATCACCCAACACCATCGCATCCCCCTCATCATCGCATCCCTCCACACGCGATTCCTCCCTGCAACCTCTTCGTGGTACTTCAAATCTCGGGTCATTTTGTAACCCGGGCCATTGTGTAACCCTGGTCATTCTTAACCCGGGTCATTCTTAACAAGGGTCATTCGTATCCCGGGTCATTCGTAACCCAGGTCATTCGTACCCTGCGCATTCGTAACTCGAATGATTCGAACTCCGGGTCATCCGAAATCCTCAGCGCCACTGATTTATTTTTAGTGAATAAGTTATGTTTTGTAAAAGCGTTGATCTAGTGTTGGAGTTAAATTCACTAGCCACACGTGGATGTGGTGTGTGAACTAAATTCACTAGCCACACGTAGATGTGGTGTGTGAACTAAATTCACTAGCCACAAATTGATGTGGTGTGTGATCTTAATTCACTAGCCACAAATTGATGTGGTGTGGGAATTAATTCACAAGCCACTTTCTCACACTACCGCCGCCCCCCCGAAATTTTAAAGTGCCCTCCCCCACCCCCTGAAATTTTAAAGTGTCCCCCCCCCCCCTCGTAGAAAAAGTCTGAAGGAAACACTGACTGTATACTAATTAACGTTTTTGTTAATTTGTTGACGGGTGGCCGGTATGTGTGTGTGTGTGTGTGTGTGTGTGTGATTAAGTAGTGGGGTTTTGGAGGGGGAGGGGATATAGAGTGCCACTTGGATGCTTGAAATAATTCTCAGCATTTAAAAACACGCAGAATCTCTTGGTCTACAACTTAACAGTTTTATTGCAACATAAACTAAAATTTTAAAAAAAAATGAGACATGAATTTAAAAAAAAAAAAAAAATTTTTCCAGTAAAATATTGTCGTACACAATTTTTTTTTACAATTTTTTTATCCCCTTTCAGACGCTAGCTTTTATTCAATTAATTTTATCGCTTTAGGAGCATTTTTGCACCGTCTATACGTCTTTATTTAAAAAAGGAATCGATAATTACTTAATTTTGCCGCGATAAAATCATGTCAGTCAAGTTTTTATCAAATGTCGTGACATGAAGAAATCGATTTTTGTCGGCTCACTCCATCCACGATCAGGCTCCACCGTGCTCCACCGTGCTCCACCGTGCTCCACCGTGCTCCACCGTGCTCCACCGTGCAGCTCCGCTCAACAGACACCTGTTCGTTTTTATGGGGAAAAAATCATACATTTTCACTGATAGGATAAAATAAATAAATAAATTCTCTCGTTTCAATCTTATTTAACGAGGGTTGGAAATTGCCTTTTTTTTTCAGCCAGTCTGGGTTATTTTTAGATCTTTAGCATAAAAATTGGTCACGTTTGTGAAGTTCTGAAATTTTTAGAACTTATCCGTTTACCGACGTACTCTCCCAGTTCTGCCCACAAAATACTCCTCACCTTCATACTGCCCACACAATCCTACACCATGCTCCACCCACACCACAGTAAACAACACCAAACATCATTACAGCACCAGTTATTTACATTAAAGCACTTTTCGTCTACACTACCCACACACTACCGACACACTACTCACACACTGCTCACACAATGTAACACCATCCTTTCTCTTACATGATATTTTCTGATTTTCTACTATATCGTCTGTTGGGTCAACACTCATGTCGTTATTTGACATTCTCATAAAATATCAGCATTGATATATATATATATATATATATATATATATATATATATATATATATATATATATATATATATATATATATATATATATATATAAATTTAGTATCTTATTTTTAAATGAAAGAAACAATTATATTCAAATACATTTAAAGACAGTCACAGCAGTTTAAAATTTTATTTCTTTTCTCAGATGTTCCGGCCGATGTTCTGGAATTAGGATCAAAGAGCGGTACCGCTGGTGAAAGCAAGGGAGACAACTTTAAGTTGTGCAACTTGTTTTGGTCTCCCGCGGCCCGCAGGTGCGCAGCGGTGCACATGAAAAGATGCGAAAATTAATCTGCTGGAATAAGAAATAACAAAGGGCTTTAACTCTCTCGCAGCTTCGACATGACCGAAACACAGCTGTGTAAACAACGTTGATTACGTCCCCTCCCCAGCCGGAGTGTAGGCAGGGGTGTAAGTAGATGGGTGACTCTTGAATAGGAGAGAGGCTTTAAAGAGGTGGAGGCGAGTTAACTTTTATGTTTGGGTTAAGGAACTTATCTGAAACCTTGACTGTAAACTGTTTTATTGTGAGTCAGTGGTATGTCGGTTGTAAGCGAGTGGTAAAAGAGTGCTAGGCCTAAAAGAGTGGTAAGCGAGTGGTAAAAGAGTGGTATGTCGGTTGTAAAGGAGTGGTAAAGGAGTGGTAAAAGAGTGGTAAAAGAGTGGTAAGCGAGTGGTAAAAGTACTAAAAGCGCTTTCAAATACTGCAGGATGAATACTTTTTACTCCTGATCAAATCAAAAACATTTTTTATTCCCCACTGCATCTAATACTTGACCAAACAACTACAACCCCAAGCCTCCACCACCACAAATTCTCACCATCGTTAACATCCCTAACCCCTCACCATCGACAACATTCCCTAACCCCACACCATTGACAACATCCCTAACCCCCCACCATCGACAACATTCCCTAACCCCACACCATTGACAACATTCCCTAACCCCACCATCGACAACATCCCTAACCCCCACCATCGACAACATTCCCTAACCCCACACCATTGACAACATTCCCTAACCCCCCACCATCGACAACATCCCTAACCCCCCACCATCGACAACATTCACTAACCCCACACCATTGACAACATTCCCTAACCCCACCATCGACAACATCCCTAACCCCCACCATCGACAACATTCCCTAACCCCACACCATTGACAACATTCCCTAACCCCCCACCATCGACAACATCCCTAACCCCCAACCATCGACAACATTCCCTAACCCCACACCATCGACAACATCCCTAACCCCCACCATTGACAACATTCCCTAACCCCACACCATTGACAACATTCCCTAACCCCACATCATCGACAACATTCTCTAACCCCACACCATCGACAACATTCCCT